CCTCTTCTCACGCCAAGGCCTTTCACCCCAGCCTGGTGTTGTGCGTGTAAACTCCCGGGCCCCTGCAGGCTCTGGCCCTGTGGGGATGCAGGGCAGACCCCCCCGCGCCGGCACCTCCACTCACTTCCCAAATACTCACTGAGACCTACTACGCTCAGGCACTGCTCCAGGTGCTGGGGACAGAGCAGGGAACCACAGAGACAAAACCCAAACAGCAAAGCCCTTTAGTCGGTGAGAAGAACCTGGGAGAAAAGTTCAGGAGGGGCCCTAACCGGTTTGGCTCAGTGGATAGAGCGTCGGCCTGCGGACTGAAAGGTCCCAGATTCGATTCCAGTCAAGGGCATGTACCTGGGTTGTGGGCACATCCCCAGTGTGGGGTGTGCAGGAGGCAGCTGATCGATGTGTCTCTCTCATCGATGTTTCTAAATCTCTATCCCTCTCCCTTCCTCTCTGTAAAAAATCAATAAAATATATTTTAAAAAAAAGTTCAGGAGGGAAGGGGTGCCAGGGAGTCAGGGAGGGCCTGGCGAGACCGTGGAACAGAAATGAGGGTGACCCTGAGGACACCTGGGGAGGAGCAGCGAGGCCGGGGGTCACACAGTTGACAGGAGAATGGAACCACCCTCCACTGGCCTGGCCCTGTGCCCGCACCCCTGTGGGGAGGCGGCATTAGATTCTACTTTACAAAGAGGAAAGCAAGCTCAGAAGGATAAGGGATGAGCCAGGCAGCCCCGGGGCCCGAACTCTCCCAGCACCCCTCACCCCACACACGTCTGTGGGGTCCTCTCCCTCTCAGCAGAGGACGGCCCTGGAGGGGCCTGCAGCCGAGCATAGTAGAGGGGAGCCAAGTGCTGGGAACCCCTCTGGCCTTGGCTTTGCAGGGTCATCATCAGTCAAACCCCCCTCGCCCCCAAGCGTTTGGCTTTAGCCCCAAGGAAGGCTGCCTCCCATCAGGTCGGGGGCATTGGGGACTGCCCATCCACTGTCCCTCCCAGAGCCGGTCCTCAGAGGCCCCCAGTCCATAGGGTCACACTCGGGAGGGACTCAGATTTGGGGTGTGCAGGGCCTCTCCTCCCCCACCCCTCGGGTCTGCAAGTGTCTGAACAAAGTCCTTTCACAATGACTCATTGCCTGCCCGCTAGGGCCCCAGGGGAGGCTGAGGGAAGGGGGTGACGCCAGTGGGCACCGTGGACAGGGTCCCTTTGTATCGGAGTCCTGCCTGGTAGGCCTGGCCCAGCACAGGCTGTGGGGGTGGGGTGAACGTCGGCAGGGCTTCAGCTCTGAACCCCCAGCTCCCCTCGCCCACCACAGCCCTGGGCACAACCAGCCAACCCTCGGGCCACTGTCTGCGGACAGACACGGGACAGCTCGGAGAGGGGGGGGCGGGGGCGGGGGCAGGTGTCAGCCTCGGGTTTCCTGAGCCTCACGAGAACCTCGAGGCTCTGGGGTTCAGGGACAGGAAGTGGCTGCACCAGGTGACACTGCAGGTCGGTCAGACCCCGAGTGAGACGAAGGCCAGGCCTTTCCCACTGCATCACCTCCCCTGCGGCGCCGCCTGCCCTCCTCTGCCCGAGGCCGGGGGAGACATGCTGCGCCCCCTCCTCACCAGGAGGCCCTGCCGCCTTAGCAGGTGGAAGTGCCGCCAGCGGGGCCGGAATCCTTGGGCCTGGGCTGCTCCTACACAGACGTGAGTCCTGCGACAGGCCCGGGGGCTGCCCACAGCCAGGTGGCCCAGATGACAAAAGAACTGTGACCTGCGGGAGGGGGCTCAGCGCCACGGGAGGCGAGGTGGCCGCTGGGTCCCAGCCCCGCAGGCGCTGGCAGCAGGCACAGCATCATGTGCCCCTAGCACCTGGCCGGCTTCCAGGTCCTCGGCTGAGATGCCACTTCTCTCGTTAAAGGGCACCAGGTGGCAAAGAAAACATGGCCCGGGACTGGCGAGGGAAGTGCCCGCGCTGGCTGGGGGAGGGGGAGGCGGGAGCTCCCCTGGTCTCCACCCGCCTGGCTCTCCTGGCACAAGCTCCTTCCCCGCTCGCCTCTCCCGCAGTCCTGTTCTGAGGGGCAGACCCCCACACGGGGGAGCGTCTCGCTTCTGTGTTCCCAGTTCAGGGCTTGCCGAGCAGGCGCCCAGGCCTTTGTTCACCAGTTAGCCAAGTAAGAAAGCAACTGGCGCCAGGGGGTGTGGCTCAGTGGCTGACCTTCGACCTGTGAACCAGGAGGTCACGGTCAGGGCACATGCGGGTGGCGGGCTCGATCCCGTGTGGGGCGTGCAGGAGGCATCTGATAGGTGATTCTCTCTCGTCATTGATGCTTCTATCTCCCCCTCCCTTCCTCTCTGAAATCAACACAAATATATTAAAAACTATTAAAAAATATATTAAAAAGAAAACTGGAGGAAAAGCAGAGGGCTGCGGCCAAGGTGGGCTCTGCCGCCGACCGGCTCCGAGGCAGCGGACACCCTCTGATCACACGTCTCGGTTTCGCTGTGAAATGGGGAAACAGCAAGCTCGCAGGCCTGCTGGGAGGAGACGGGTGACTGAGAAGAGCTCCGCGGAGCGTGACATGCCCCGCCGATGTCCGGGACAGCGGGGCCTCGGCCGGAAGTCTCCGCAGCTGAGGTGCTCGGCGGGGCAGGAGGCTGCCTCAGACACAGGCAGGTGTGTGTGCAACCTGAGCGCAGGGGTGGGCGCTGGGCTGGTTCTGGAAGAAAGCCTCGGCGAGGGGCAGGCAGGCCCCACCCTCATAAGCTCCAGGTTGGCCCCTCAATGAAGACCACGAGCGCTGGCTGGGATGCTGATGTCAGAGCTGGCCCTGCGGTGCTGGCCCTGCCCGGGCATCAAGCAGGAGCCGTCCTGATGCCCGAGGATGGAGGGCAGGTCCTGGCGCAGGAGGGTGGGGGTGTGGAGGTGCTGTCACGCTCCAAGGAGCCTCGACCTGCTCTCCCAGCAGACCTCCCCCCCAGCCCCCCAGGCTCCTGCGGGCTGACAGGGTTTGACTCCAGCCCCGGCACGTCCCCAGGTTCTACTCGGACCCCAGGGAGAAGGCGGGCAGTGGGCACGCACAGCCTCTCGCTGCCAACCCAGACCCAGCTCCTCTCACTCCCCGCGCGCCCTGAGGAATCCCATGTGCAGTCCTGGGTTTGCACCAGGGTGTGAACTTAGCTCTGGGTAAATTCAAATACTAGTGACCATTCATCATGCTTCCCTGGGCCCGTGCGAAGCATTAACAGTTTATCATCCGCACAGGAGCAAGCACAGGGCACACCAGCTCGGGCCCTTCACCGCTGTCGTTTCATTCAGTCCCCACAGCGCGACGAGGAGAACAAGCTTGTTTCACCCAGGGAAACTGAGGCTCCAAGGACAGCAAGATTTCATTCAGTCCCCACAGCGCGACGAGAACAAGCTCGTTTCACCCAGGGAAACTGAGGCTCCAAGGACAGCAAGGCCCGTTGTGGGGTCAGGCCAGGGTCCCTCCCACCCTGCGCGTGAGTGTTCTGAGTCAGTTCATCTGCAAATCAAAGCGGTGGATGAGACCAATGAATTTCTAGCTGTTTTTAGTCACAGACTCTTTGTTCAAATGAAGTCTTGAGTGGAAGTGGACCGAGTCCGATGGATAGAGACAGGCTCCGCTGGAGAGGGCGTGGGCGGTGGGCTGCTCCACCCGTGGGGCTCCCCCCAGCCCTCCGGCGGAAGCACAGAGTTAGGGTCCTGTGGGGAAGTGACCCCTGGCCCAGGCCCTCACAGGTCCTCCAGGCAGGGGTTCTCTGAGCTCCTCATCAGGGACAGCAGGTTCAGGGCCGAGACGCCGGGCACGTGGCCAGCACAGATCTGCAGCATGCGGACCAGGCGCTGCGCCATGGTGACTCGAAAGCCTTCCACCTGCGGGGAGAGCGGAGAGCAGGGTCAGAGCGGCCACACAGGCTGCCTGAAGGGGCTGGGTCGGAGATGTGGGGACAGCTCAGTGCACCATGACCCTGTCCACGGCCATGACCGGTCCACGGCCATGACCCTGTCCACAGCCATGACCCTGTCCACGGCCATGACCCTGTCCACAGCACACCTCTCCAAGCAGCTTCCACCATCTCAGCTTCCGAGTCCCTCCAGCACCCTGCGGGGACCCCAGAGACGACGAGCCCTTCTCTGTGCATGTACAACGTGTCGGTCCAGCTCACTACATTCTGAGAGGAGGGCCAATGCCTGACTCATCTGTGCTCTCAGGGACCAGCACAGGGCCCTCTGGGCCGGGCTAGAACATCATTTCACTGGGCGCATCCCACGCCTCGCTGAGTGGGTTTCCTCATGTGTAAAATGGGGCGATAATTCTTGCCACGCAAAGGCCTCAAACTATGGTGAGGCGCAAACTTGATTATGCAGAGGCGTGTGCCCCGAAAGCCCACACGGGTGGGAGGGGTGCGGACTGTCCGCACTGGGGCTCCCTCCGAGGGAAGCCAGGTCTGTGTTCTCAGCGGTCCGCGGCTGGAACAGCCAGCAGGCCGCAGACCTTCTCTGTTCTCAAGCGCAGGGTAGCCCAGGGCTGGCGTGGCCTGCCACCTACTGGCCACACACAGAACGACACCACCCACCACAAGGTTAGCACCCACAGGCACCTGCCATTTCCTTTGGCAACAGTCACAGATTCTGCTAAAACTCACGACGGCTCTTGCTTACCCCCATGATGCTCAATTTCACGTAGAGGTTAGTAAAGTAAAATACGTAATTTTTTCTTGCCCAAGTCCACAGATCCCCCGAGTTCTACTCTCAGATCAGAGGGTTTCCACGGGCTCCAGAAGAACCCCTGATCCCCGATACTCGGGGATCCTCCAAGCAGCCCCCTGAGTGCCGACTGCCCGTTCCCTGCGCCGGGACCAGGCCTCACCTCCAGGTCACAGAAGAGCAGGGGGCTCCGGTAGGCTCGGGCCAGCTTCAGCACGCTGTTCCGGTGGACGCTGCAGTGGCTGTCCCGCCCGGCTGCAAAGAAGCCCAGAGTGCTATGCTGTGAGCGCCACCTGCCGGCGGCCACTGAGGAGGCCTGGGCAAAGCAGCCCACTGCCCCGTCCCCGGGCCCCAGTCTCTGACTGGTCAGGGGTGACAATCCTGCCACCTTCTCCTCTGGGCGGTCGAGATCATCAAGTTAGCAGACCAGGCGGAAAGGGCTCTGAAACATGGTTTCCTCATCTATAAAGTGAGGATGGTAGCAGCCCCACCGAGTCACTATAGAGACTCGGTGAATCGATACATGAGTGACCTGGCACTCATTTATTCACCAATGCTTTTTATTTTCATTAAAAAAAATTTTTTTAATTGAGTTTTTTAGAGAGGGGGAAGGAACAGGGAGAGACAAAGAGAAACATCCATTGGCTGCCTCCTGCACACCCGCTACTGGGGATCGAGCCCACACCTGGGCATGTGCCCCGACCAGGAATGGAACCTGGTGCAGGGGATGACGGCAACCACTGAGCCACACTGGCCAGGGCTACCAATGCCTTTGAAAATAAGCTGTGCCAGGCCCTCCCCCAAAGGGGCTCACAGTTCAGCTCAGACACACCATCCGTGCGGGATGGGGGCCCTCAGGGCCCAGACTGCAGGCTGGTCAGGGAGGCCTTCCCCAGGACGCGGAAGAGGGGTTAGCGAGACAGACAGGAAGCGTCTCTGAGAGAAGCGGCCTGGCTCAGGACTGAGTATCTAGGTCTGAATCTCAGCTCCACCACTCTCTAGCTATGGGGCCCTGGGCAGGTTACGTCACCCCTGACCAGTCTCCTCAGCTACGAAGGAGAGAGGATACCCGCCTCAAAGGGTTGCTTGTGACGATTAGTGACACAGAAACACGCGCTCAGAGCGGTGCTGGGGCGGTGGGTGCTCAGTGAAGGTTAGCGGACACCGTCCCCACTGTTCGTAACAGCCGCGGAGACAGCAGGACTTGCTCAGAGAGCCACCGGTGAACCAGAGCGGAGGGTGCCAGGAGGTGAGGCGGGCGGGAAGGCAGAGGCCACGCTGCCGAACACGCGGCGCCCTGACAGGGGTTTGGGTTTTACTCTAAAACCACTCGGCAACTCCAAGCAATGACCTCAGCAGAATCCGCTCCGCGGAGTGACCTGCTCAGATGTGCTCTTAGAAAGACCGACAGCAGGTCCGATGCCAAGGCCCGTCCTTCCCATCAGCCCGGCGCCTCAGCAGGGAGGGTGCACGGCACACTGCCCTCGGCGGGCGAGGGTGCACTTACCGCCTGTGACCAGGAAGCCCACCTTCCCCAGGAAGAAGGTGGCGTCCACGTGGCGCAGGGACTCCTCCACGTTCTGCAGGCTGGGAGGCCAGGCCCGGGCGAGAAAACAAACCTTACAACAGAGAAGGCAGTGCCCTCCTCACCCGCCCCCCCCGCCCCGCCTCTCATCCCATCCCAGAGCGGCCAGAGACTGAGGGGTGACAGGACTCTGCCCAGAGTATTGCAATACTTTGTCCTTTCATTGTTTCAAACTACTTTTAATTACACCTCAGTCTGCTGTCCCCCAGGAGGGAGAGGACAGACCTTCCTCTGCGCTCCACAGGCCGGCTGCAGTCCTGTCCCCAGGGTTGCCAGCTCCACAGGGGGGCCAGGCCGGGCCACTCCTGCTGCCACTGCCATGGCCCCACACTAGACTGGGCTCCTGACCTCGCACAGGCCTTAAAAGTCTTTCTTCTAAACACACTATTGGTTTTACACGAACTCTTCACCTGGAACACGGTGCTCACTCCCATCTTAACCTGGCTAAGGCCGTCTCATCTATCAGGTGTCACCTCCACCAGAAAGTCTACCCTGACTAAGTCCTGAGCGTCAGAGGTCTGGTGTGGGCTCTCACAAGTGTTCGGAAGCCCCGCCTCCTCCTGCAATGGACCAGGAGCACACTGAGGTCAGGGGTCTGTTCCCTTCATCTCTGTGCCCGCTGTCAGGGACAGAGTAGACCTCAGAGCGCATTAGCTAAATGACAGGTGACACTGCTAGGATTTATCAGTGTCTTTCAAACATCTTGCACTGGCCACGGCTCCCCCTCCTCACCATCTAGGTCAGTGATGGCGAACATTTTGAGCTCGGCGTTGTCAGCATTTTGAAAAACCCTAACTTAACTCTGGTGCCGTGTCACATATAAAAATTTTTTGATATTTGCAACCATAGTAAAACAAAGATTTATATTTTTGATATTTATTTTATATATTTAAATGCCATTTAACAAAGAAAAATCAACCAGAAAAATGAGTTCGTGTGTCACCTCTGACACGTGTGTGATAGGTTCGCCATCACTGGTCTAGGTTAACCCCAGGCAGCCTCTCCCTGCCTCCTCTCCTTCCCATCATAAGTGACGTCACTGTCCCTAAGCCAGGGAGGGCCACCTGAGCCCCGACAGCCCCATCGTCTGGCTCTCACCTGTATTTGCTGTGAAGGTTGACCACGAACACAATCAGGTCAATTCGGGGGCGATTCACATCGGAGGGCAGAGGGAGGGAATGTGCCAAGTGGCTGGAAAACAAGAAACTGCAGGACTAAAGATCCATGCACCCACATTCCCGTGACCAGCACATGCAGTCAGAGGCGCCTCACCTCTTCACCTGATGCCTCCTGGGCAAGACTCCTCTGGCGAGCAGAGGGGCGGGGCGGGGCAGGGCAGGGCTGGTCCCACCCAGATGACTTTCTTCCGACTCCTCTGGCAGAAAGGAGTTCTGTGTAGTAGCCGCCTTGGTAAGACGGAGTTTTGGGTAGAAGATGGCATGGGGCTAGCAAGCTACACTGCATGCTGGGAGGGAGGCCAGGCTCCGAGGCGGGTGCTGAACTGTGAAGATTAGGGGCTGGGACTGAACTCCGTTGGAGTGTGACAGAAGGGGGTTCAAATCTCAGTTCTGCAAATTACCAGCTGTGTGACCTTGGATAAATCACCTCATCGTTCTCCTGGACTTGGTCCCTGGTGGTCAGATACCCACCTGAAGGTTTTTCTGGAACCCTCGATTTCTGCCCATTTCCATGTATTCCTATTACCCAGCTCCTCCCATCACCTACCTTATAATTCAGGAAACATCAAAAAGGACTGCCCAGTTGGTCTGGCTCAGTGGTCACCTGAGCGTGGCCACCTGAACCAGGAAGTCACAGTTCAATTTCTGGTCAGGGCACACACCTGGGTGGCGGGCTTGACCCCCAGTAGGGGGCATGTAGGAGGCAGCCAATTGATGATTCTCTCTCATCATTGATATTTCTCTCTCTCCCCCTCTCCTTTCCTCTCTGAAATCAATAAAAATATATTTAAAAAACAAACAAAAACACCACAAAGTCCAGTTACCTAGAAATTACCATTAGTGAACTTTAGAGCATTTTTCTAAACATCTCTTCATGTACACAACATTCAGACACTAGAATAAATATAATCTAAAAATAGGATAATAGTATTAATTTAATTTGCATTTAATGAAAGCAAAATAACTAAAGCTGAACTGAAAAAATACATGAACTTAGATGTTATTTTTTAATCACAAAGGTTGTTTCCTGAAAGAACTGAATTAAGAAAAAAATTAATAACTTGTTATCATTTTTTAAAAAATATATATTTTATTGATTTTTCACAGAGAGGAAAGGAGATGGATAGAGAGTTAGAAACATCGATCAGCTGCTTCCTGCACACCTCCTACTGGGGATGTGCCTGCAACCAAGGTACATGCCCTTGGCCAGAATTGAACCTGGGACCTTTCAGTCTGCAGGCCGACGCTCTATCCACTGAGCCAAACCGGTTAGGGCTATCATTTGAAACTATATGTTTCAATTTTATCTATATTAGCTTGAGTCTCCATTATGAGACATGAGAGCTATTAGTATATGTTTACATTTTGCTCTAGCTATAACCTTGGACCTAGGCTGACCAAGCGGCCACTCTGGAACCCTGCTGGTCGCCATGGGAGAGACAAAGCCTTCTGAGGAGGGTCTCACTGTCCACTAAATAGCTCACCAATAAAGAGCCGATCATTTTTCTGCTCTTAACTCATTGGCCAGAACTAGTCACATGGCTCCACACAACCACAAAAGGTCAAAAAGTGCAATTCCGAAACCTGCCATAGGCTCCAAATGCAGAAGCTGGAAATATCTGGCAACGGAATGAGCGGATGATCACGTAGGTGATTGCCTTTCCTGCGAAAAGTCTGAAGAATCATTTACCCTTTAAGTTCAACAGTTCAACTTGACACAAATGCTGTGTCTGTTTTTCCTGGAATAAGATATATATTCCTTTTTTAAAAATTCTTTTTTGTTATATTCCTTTTTTAATGGAAAAATTAAACTCTTCGCTCATTTCAGGCTTTTTAAAAATTCTTTATTATATTCCCTTTTTAATGGAAAAATTAAACTCTTCGCTCATTTCAGGGGAGTTTTCTTCTATTACATCTTCGCTGAACACTTCTGTGGTTTTCTCAAATCTTTCCTCTTTGTAGGCAATGAAGTGCTCAACTGCACCTATTCTGACCCTTGCTGTTCCTATTTGTTAGATCCCGTATGGCATTATTTTTGGTCCTTTTTTGCCCTTAGCTCAGCAACCTCCCTTTTCCTCTCATTCTGTTGTTTTATTATTTGGTCTCTGAATGACTCTTAAAAACTCAGGTTCTTATTAAATTTCCCAATCCACAAAATACTCAAAAAGGAGCTTTCTTCTTTTTCCAGAGTGGGTTCTTCATCAGATTTCTGCATGTCAGGTGAATCCTTACCCTTTTTGGCAAGGGTTTCCATGACACTTCTTTTTTTTTTTTTAAATATATTTTTATTGATTTCAGAGAGGAAAGGAGAGGGAGAGAGAGAAACATCAATGATGAGAGAGAATCATTGATTGGCTGCCTCCTACACGCCCCTCACTGGGGATGGAGTCCGCAACCCTGGCATGTGCCCTTGACCGGAATCGAACCCGGGACCCTTCAGTCTGCAGGCCGACGCTCTATCCACTGAGCCAAACCGGCTAGGGCTCCATGACACTCCTTTCCATCTTACTCAATGCAGGCAATGTTGTCCACATTTTCCATTTGCCCTGATACCAATGAAATGAATTCTTTTTAAAAATCCTTTCCTATTTCTAAGCTATGGCTTTGGGATTGTTGGTTGTGTTTGACGTTCTGGGGCCCGAGAGACTGGCAAGATGGGTAAAGCACAGATATTTGGAAGAAAAAGATGATGTTCCCTCATCAGAGATCATTAAAGTGCGGTAGCAGGTTTGCTCTACCTGGCAAGGGCCATTTCCAGTTCCCATGGAGGGAATGCCCTTAGATCTGGGTCATTCCCCTTCAGCATGGACCTGGAGCTTACCTTCCCATCAGGGCAAATGTAGCCGGTCAAGTAGAATGAAGTTAACTAGAAGAGGACGTTCTGCCAAGAAAAGGCAGGGGCCTGCAAGCGGGCCACGTCAGAACAAAGTCTTGCACGCAAGATTTATTGTTCCGAGGCAGAATTTCCTTGGGTCCATGAGGGCATGGAAAGTTAAAGGGAGGGTATACTGCTGCAGGTTAAAAGGGTCTTTATATAATATAGGAAATTAATAGTTTAATGTATAACTTAGCTCAGATGATCTCATAGGCATGCCTGGTTTACCATTTTACTTGCTGTACTCCCCAAATAAAAGCCATGAGAGCCTTGGAGGTTTTGCTACACACCTGAGTGAGCAGTAGCCCTCTGCTTCTCTTAGCTCAATCCTGCACCCCGAGCTCATCTCAGAGTCACCGTTCACCTGCAGACCACCTGCAGCAAACGACACCCACAGACCTAGTCGCTTGACTCCCTCAGCAGCGGTTTCTACTTCCCCTCAGTGAGAAGAAGGAAAACAAAGCATACTTCCTTGGTCACTTTTTCTCCAGATTTGGAGGGCACATCTACACGGCTCAGGACACTAGGAGTCACGAGAGCACGAAAGTCAGTCCCTGCCCTCAAGGGACTGGCCTTGGGGTCCAGGGCCTGGTCGACTGGACACAAGGAAACGAACAGTGACAAGGAAATGTCTTACGGTGACAAGTGTTAGAGGAAGAGAACAAGTGATGGAGGATACCTTGGACCCGGCTCTACCAGAGGCGGGCAGGGTCGGCGAGGCTGACCGCGCAGTTAGGGATGGTGAAGGGGC